AGTTTTTACCGAGATATTTTTTTTAATGAGATGAAACAGCAGCTTAGAGAAATCTTGGTTATTTTGTTTTGCATAAATATACACTAAAGTAAATCAGCAGAACGACCGATGAAAATCAGTTCGGCGTCTGATTAAAAAAACACAAATATATCAAAGAATTATTGAACAACAATCAATCAATTCAGTAATTGTTAAATTACAGCACTTGAACTCTATATATATATATATACATAATTTCTTGTAAAAAATCTATCACTTGGTAAAAATGTTGAAGGGTTGGTAAAACACAATTCAGACTGCTTTTAGTCCCAAAACTGTTATCGTGAAATCCATTTATTCGATAAATACAAGAAAAAACATCGTTGCTATTGAATCAGCATAAGCGATTAAGATAACAAATTAATTATAATAGAAAAAAAATACCAGAAAATTAGCAAAAACAAAATTAGCTAAAACAATCTGCAAAATAACTTTATGCAAAAAGTAATTCACGGTGGTGATATAGTGAGATTTTAATGGAAAATGATGGAAAGACGAATGGGAAAATTGCAAAAATGAATTATTTAAAGGCCATATCGTGGAATGGAACAATAAATTTATATTTAATAGCCTAAAATTGCTCAAAAACAATATTTTTCTCTTCAAGCTACCATTATGATTTGAATAGAAATTTTTATTAAAAGTATTCGACAATAGTAACACAAATTTAACAGATGGTTATATAAAAATAATGCAATCATAAGCCATAAAAATGCGAATATTATCATGAATCTGGAACTTCCTATTATTTTTTTAAAAAGTATTAATCAAACCACTAAAATACTGCAATTCTCAACGAATATTTGAAAAAGAATTAAAATTCATAAATCTTTTGCCAAATGTTTTTTCTGAAAAACTAACTTTGAAATTTGCAGTTCCATCATGAAATAATGGTTTCATCACGAAAAAAAAGTAACAAAAATACCCAGTTCCCAGTTTTTAAAGTCTTCAACCACCAAAAACAAGTGTCAAACAATAAAACAAATAACCAAGCTATGAAAATTTCATAGCTTATAAAAATCCTTAAACAAAGGGTCTGGACAGTGATAGAATGATGATGGAAATTAGAATACTACTATAAATGACATCAGACCCATGAGTATATACTTCCTAATGAAAAAAAAATGGTTAGAACTCAACTTCTGCTTCGCTCTACTGGTTATTTCTTAGATTCATTTTCCAATAACACAAACTTAAATAGTGGACAAGACAAAAGGTAGACTTCCATCAATAATAATTTAATCACAAGAAAATTAAAACGACTGCTAGAGCTAGAATGACTCAGACTACCACATCACTTAATGATTGAATCGAGCTTTTCACTTGTTAAATCAGTGAAAATAAAAGATGAAGGAATCCGAAATTACTAGTAAAAATTATCAAAATGTTAAAGCGTCAGAAAAAGAAGTATCAATTAATTGAAAATGGTCGACGGACGAGCAATAAATAAATTGATGACTAAAAGGCAAATCAAGGACATAAAATCGACAGTTATGTTGGCGATAATGATAATCTATAATAAAATCCAATTAATCAAGCTGCATCTTGGATTTGCATACTTACAATGTCATTTTCCTATCTATTAAAACAATCTTCTATATTCACGAAATTCATCCTAACGATTTCTTATGCCGTTTCAAAAATGGAAAAATTTTAAATAATATAATAACACATTATTTTTGCGATTTCTTGCATTTTACAAATTCCATTCGTGAATCTTTGAGGAACACCAGTAAAGTCAAAACCACCCAATATTGAGCCCATTAAACAGTTCCTTCTCTTTTCTAACAGCCGCTTCTAGTTTGGCTGGTCCTATTGACATTGGTCTTATTATGATGCTGTTTCGCTTGGAAACAGAAGTACTTAGCACTAACCATATTTCACTTCCGACAATAGATTCACCCTTCAAAGAGCAAGGAATTGAACTCATAATGCTTAAATTAATGGTAGAAGCATCATATGACTTAGTTCAATCTCTTTTTACTCCTAGAAAAATTGAAAAAATCTCGATTCAGTTGAGTAAATATAAAAAGAAAAAGAAATAAAGCAAATTAAACAAAACAGTTTATAAATCGAATAAAAACCCAAAATGACAAAAAAAATTAATATCTCATGAAAAGCATTCAGCCATTTAACAATTCGATTTATAAAGAACGAAAATTTTTTGGAATAAAAAATCCAAATAAATGAAAAGCTAAAAGCTGTATTAATTACTATTTAAGAGCTTAATATAAAAGAGATTATTAACTTAAGAATTTTCTTTAGGGATTAAGTACAGAAATCTGCAATAAAAGCAAAGAAATCATCATCAATAGGCACTACACTCAAGGCCATTTATGGCAATTAACTAAACCTGAATTATTATCTGTTTATAAGCCTTTTTGATTTATTGAAATTAAAGTGAAATTGGAACCAACAAATAATAAATAGGAGTCAATGAAATATTATCAAAAGATTATAGATTATATAGTGTTTTTTTATAGTTAAATAATAGTGGTCCAAAAACTTTCTTTCCAAAGTGTAATAAAATAAATGAAAATCCTTATAATTTTGCAACTGCAACAAAATCATTAATGAATGAATGAATGAAGTTTTACAAAATTCTTTTATAACTATCAAATTTTCATCTAAACTATTTACAGTTATAATCCATCTCATGACCTTAGCTGATCCGATGAACTTTCAAAAAAGGTAATTAATCATCATGAACTCCTATAAAGTTACCCGATAAATAATATATACGAAAGCGAATCTCATCCAACAGTAAACGATGGTACCTATCTAATTAAAAGTCCAATTTTCTTGGAAACCAAATTGCTTAAAATATATAATACCAGAAAGATCTATGCCATGAAGTTATTTATGGAAATTTATAGAAAGGTTTTTGCGAGCACACATAGTAGTTTCCAAAAATGAAATGATTACCGTACTCACAAGAAAAATAATGTACAATACGAATGCTTTCGAAAATGACGAAAGATTGGCAAATCGGAGAAAAATTATTAAAAATATCAACTCATTAAAACCAACGTCAAAAAATTGGTCATCGAAAAAATAAAGAGGATTTCATGAAAATTCATAACCTGCTTGACATTCAAACATTTAACTTAACATTTAACTTTATAGGTAAGATAATGGTTTACAACCATCACCACCGGTTGCTCTGGTGTAATGAGACCCTTTCGTCGAAGAATCACGTGGGAAAGAAATACAGGTAAATTAACAGCGACACTGATTTTATGACAGGTCTCCAGTTGTTAGTGGTGGGCCCGAATCACGATGTTTGAAATGATAATCTAAGGATGAAAACTTTGCTTAACTGCCTAACGAGGAGTGGAAATCGTAAACTTAAAAAAATTATAAAATTAAAATAATTAAAATGCAAGAAAAACATCGGATAAATCAGTTGACGATTCGCAAAAATAAAGAAATAATATATCGTTTCCGTCAGTACCAAAAAGCAAAAATCAAATAAATGGAAAGTAATTTTATAAAATTTTGAATTGGCAAAGAAATAAAACAAATTTTAGCAAATCTTTCTCTTTGAGAAATAAAAAGTACTGATCAGCTTAAATAATTCCAGATTCCTTAGGATCATTAAAATACCACATAAAAAGATCACTCCATTCTGGCACTTTCTCTTGCGAATGGATTAAGGACATAAATCTATGGATTAAATACATAAAGTAAACATAATATTGTTGAATGAAATTTCAACAATATAAACTACATACTATGAACAGACAGAATGATGAGATACAAGAAATTTGAGACGATTATGGTCAAATCAGATAAAATTATATGTAAAAATCGTTTAATGTAATAGTATCTCATAACAGAATTAAAGAGAATAATTTTTGATCTGAATTGTAAAATGAATTGCATTTCAGAGCTCGGTACTCTAATTCTACTGAACCTGTGAATTAAACCTGTGACCTGAGTAATGCTGGCGATTCGCCTCTATTCCTATCGCCAAATGAGTTCCTGACAAAATTTGGTTAGTTCGACAAGCCAGTGGAATAGTCAACCATACCAGAAATGATAAGCGCTCTTACAAGAAAAAATGATAGACCACAGCACTTTATAGTTATCTCTTATTAAATGCATTAATCTATAATTTACTCAATTATCATGTTCAGTATTAACATCAATAACATCAATATTAAAGAGATATAAAGCATAATATAATAAAGCATAATACAAAAGCAAATTTTTTATCCAATAAAATTTGAACATTTCGAGGTTGAAAAATTTAGAAACCACAGGAAAATAAGCATTTTAAAATATGCGAGGATAACATCTATTATTTCACCTCTTATTCGGATATTAATGCTACAATCCTCCATACAATATATTCGCTTTTATATTGTTTCCTGAAATGCCTGACAAATTAATATTACGCATAATTTTACATATAATATCTGATTTGGAGAGGAAAACAAATTTAATCCATCACATCATCCTTTTGAACCACAGCAGGCTTGAGAGTACATGTTGGGTTAATCAGATTGAGCTAATAAGCAAGTTGATAAACAGAAAAATGGAAATTATGGAAAAATGGAAATGGAAATTAAAAAAGCAGAAAATAAAATATTGCGATGGCTATAATAGTTACAATAGAGCACGTTACAATAAAGTGAAACCAGAAATGAAGGACTTTTGACAATAACGAATCACGAGTCCAATGCAAAATGAAGACAAAACAAAGTGTCTGGATTACTTCGAAAGTAATCCTTTTAAAAAGGCATTTAGAAAGACAAAAAACACTATTTCAATGCAGAACGCAATATTTCCGATTATAACAAAATGTTTGGTATTAGTAGCCAAGTTCTTCAGATATCCTTAAATCCTCTACTACCAAACATTCATTTTATCGAAAATTAACTCTAATTGTTTATTAATAATAAAAATGATTTCATAAAAAATAAAATGCCAAATTTTTACAGCGATTGTCAAAGGTGTTAATGCATATAGCATGGTGAAAATTCACGTTCATAAACCAAAAAAATAATATTTCGCTTCCTAATTTCGATTCGAATTTCAGGGTGATAATCGGCACGAAGATAGAATATTAATGAACCAAATTCTTGCTGAATATACTAATATTGATTCTCATGAAATATAAAATATGAAGATTAAATGACTTCTATTCACGGTCAGTAAAAAGCGTTTCGTTTAGAACAATGTAAAACTATCGAATAAAAAATGGTAAATCAAAAAACGATAATTTAAAATATGGAGAGATTTTTTCAGCGTATAGTACATTTTTTAATTCATTCCTGAAATTTTTTTACTAAATATTCAGAAAATTAATTGAGCTGAATTGAGCTGATTGAATTGAACAATGAAAAAGCTGGACGAGAATAACTGACGGGTAATGAAAATTAGATGTGGCAAAAGTAAAGAGTGCCAGCCATTCCAGAGATTTTAGCGAAATGATCGCGGAACACCATAAAAGAAGAAAATAATAATTTTGCAGCATCATAATCTAGAAAAAAATGTATAAAAATATTTCACTGCAGTGATATAAACGACAATACCATTTGCCATATTCACGAAGCAATAGCTGAACCGTCCGATCACCATTTATTTAATAAGCAGGTGCATGGAAGCAGGTGTTTAATTGGTGGTTTCTAAAGAAATCCGAGCCATTTATGTTAGTAAAACGCTTAAAATAAAACGAAATGAATTTTTTCTTTTTTATGATAGAAAATAGAAAGAAGAAATAAAATTCCATTCGAACATGCAAAATCTGAATTCGACTAATAATTCATAAGAATGAAAAATAATAACATAAATAATTGTGTATAAATATTAATTATGTTACAGACTACAACTAAAAATAAAACCTGACAAAATTTTCTATAGAAACCTTACAAATGGCTCGAAAACAACGTCATAAATATATATATGTAATACATACATATACATATTTTTCATTCAACAAATTTATAAAAACATTATTCAATTGCTGTCGAAGAATTAGCTACATGGACTTGTAAAAAAATAAATTAAATATGAACTGTTGCAAATTTTCAGCCATTAATCTCATCTATCTTGTGGTAAAGATACTTATTGATAAAAATTTTGAGAAAAATTTGCCTTATGACGACTTTGATAAACTCACGATGATTTAACAAACATAAAAAATTGGTGTAAGAAAATTGAAAAAATTTTCGAATATTTCGCAGTTTTACCGAGCAGAGCATGGCAAACAATAAATTAAAATTTGACAAAAATAAATAGACCTATTTGCATTTCTATTATTCCAGCGATCATTCTATTCACTAAAACTAGTTATGTGCAATATTAACTGAATTTAAATGCAATTTTCTCGAAATGTGGTACAAAATATGTGAATTTAATGAGAAAGAAATTCCTCCTAAATAAGTTTATGATCTTTCTTGTTATCTTAATTACCTTTTAAGTATTATCCATAACTTTATTTAATAATTTAGCCAACATTTTCTAAATTTCATCAATCAAGTTTATTTAAAAGAGGTAACCATTTTCAAACATTATTCTTGAAACATTAATCGACTCCTTCAGTATCAGAGAAATGGACCATTAAGAAACGAATAGGATAATTATAAAGATGTTCATTAGATTTTTAATGGACCTAGATCCCCATAGAGTTATTTTACTTTCTATTTTCTAAAACGAAGATAGGCAAAACGAAATGTCGAAATCTAATTTTATAAAAGATAGGCAAATCTAATTTTTCAAATGCTTAAGTTAAATTCGCCGAAAAAAAAATACCTGCTGATCTGATGCCAATCGTTTTAATTCGTTGACTGTAACAAGCTTTTTATTAATTTTTTCCTCAGTGGCTCCAATTTTTTCTGCTGTTTCATGTAGCCATTTTCGTAATGCATTTAAAGCCGTTGCTTCACGATCTTCTTAAAGAAGCATTAATAAACAGTTATCAAGGGATTAAGATCTAAATGGATTCAGATTATAATCTCAAGATTCACAAATCATCATAAAATCTCACTAATATATCCAATTTTCAACTTTCTTAGAAAATAGAATCATAATTTAACGAAAGTTACTTATCATTTATTTATGGACGGGCAAAATTATCTTTATATCTCATAGTCCCTAACCAATATTTCCTCAAAACATTTCCTTGGCATTTCCTCGAAATCCAATCCACTACTTCCACACTCTCCAGTTCCCGCTGTACTCCTTCAATATCTTATGACATCATATTACCTTCTGCACATGTAACACCTTAACTACACCTGGGGCGAAAGTGCTGCAGTTTGCGATTTGAGACAAAAAATAATGTCCTTTAGGGCAAAAGAGTGCAACGAAAATTTTGGGGAATTATGATGGTATTTAGCAGAGTTAGAGGTATTTTTTTTCAAAATATGGCCCATTTTGGGAAAAATAAAGGATTGATTTTTAGAGGTATTAGAGGGTTATAGTGAAAGGATAAAGTAGGGTTTATATACCGCAAAATACTAAGGTCTGCGCCATAGCAGAGTTAACGAAATACATAGATATTTAAAGAAAAGATCCTTTGGTCCTAATAAAAAAATACGGTGCATTCAACAAGGTATCAAAGAAAATTAAAGAAATTTTGAAGGTTTAGAAGGCTATAAAAAATTCTAAAGAACTTATCAATAGAGGACTATAAAAATGTCTGAAGACCATATAAAGAAACCTATGGTGCTTTTAAATAGGGTAGAGCACAGCGAAAATGGATGCAGCATTAAGGGAAAGGAGCGAACATTAGAGAGGCCGAGGAGATTTAAAGGATCACGCGAGATCTAGGTGAATATTGTCGACTGTAGAACTCAATGGATGGGGAGTACTAAATACTAAACAGAGACAAATAGATTTAAGGAAGTGGAAGACAGTATTTACAGTATTTACCAGGGATTAGGAATAATTTCAACAAATTTTCGGCAGACTGTAGTAGTTTTTTTTGTGCTAATAGCAAATTATTATAATCGCAAGTTTTAAAACTTTTCGCGCTCACCGCGATGAATTTAATAAAAAAGAAGAATTTTGAGTTTTTACCGAAAATCAGTAATTGAATTTATTCATGAGACAGAAATTTTGAAAAAAAATTTTATACAGATGGTAAAAATTAAATTACCTGTAAAGCAGGAATCACAGTAGAGTTGCCGACGAATTCGAAAATTGTCCATCGCCTTAGTTATCGCTGTTAACCTTCAATAAAATTTTGGCGAACGTAAAATTTATAAAAAATTTATGAAAAAAGAAGCAATGAATTTTATAAAGTAAATTTCAAATTCAAAAATCTTTTTGAATATCTGTGGATCCAACAATTGTCTTTATACGAAATGAAATTAGGACGCAGGACGCGGTATATGGCTGGCTTAGCGTGATAAAAATGTTCGAACTGCCCGAAGACTGGATGATAAGGTTTTATTTATATGGCACAAAAATATAAAAAAAATCACGAAAATAAATAAATAATAAAAGGTGTTTATTAATAAGAGGTATGAGCTCATCGTGACTTTTTGGTGAACAGAATGATAAAGGATAAAATAATTGACGTCGATTACCTTATGTAGTCAGTTGGTCGGAAACAGAAAAAACATGAATATTAAAATATTAAGAGAAATGACAAATGGAGAAAAAAAGGTCAAAAATAAATGTATTTCAAAAGATCAACACTGAAAGCTGAGATTTAAAAAAATGAGATATATCTATGCGCAAAACGATTTTATGCATACTTCTTCATCTCCAAAATCTTCGAAAGAGATAATAAATTTCCTACCAAAGGTTTCTGTGGTGATTACAAGAATGGCTGTGCAAATCATGAAACAATTAAGTCTTTGTGGCAAAATGGAAACGAACTTGTAGAAAATAATATTTGAGAAATGCGGGACTGCTTCAGCCAATTTGGCACCTTGCTCGACTATTTTTGTTTGACGTTCATTAAATATTTCTTCATTTATTTCCTGAAATCGACATTTTTTTCAGTAAAATAAACGTCGAATTAGCTTAGTCTATAAACTCCAAAAAAAGACTAAAGAATTTAAAAAGCGAATCATTAAAAAACATGGTTCTCACTAGGAATTTTTCCCAAACCCAACCCAATATAAAGTATACTTTCTATAATAATCAGCAATATAAATGCTTCCATTATCATTCTTTCAACGCTTCTCATAGATAATCGGAAATGAACGAAAAAGAAAGAACTGCGAAGATTTTTAGCTATGTGCTTCTATGATTTATATTGTATTTATATTTATATTATGCAAAGTGTTGAACCTTGCTGGAGTTAAAACAAAAAAATTAGAGAAATGATGCAATATATTACAAAGAATTTTAAAGTGAAGAATATTACTATGAAAAAATAAAATGCAAATACCCTTTTACTCTCTCTCCGAACCAAAAAAGTAGAAATTAGAGTAAATTAATGCTTCACTGCAGTGTACAATCAATTCAGCTACCAATAACAATAAAGCATGAATCAATGGAATCGATATGTAAGGATAAAGATGACCACTGCATAAATCTTTCTCAGTAGATTTCCATTAATGAAGAAACATAAGATAACCGCTTGACTCGAACGACAAATATCCAATTCCAGTTAACCCTATTATTCGCCATTGTTATATAAAGGATTCAGCACTTTTAACAATAGCATTTTACGATAACATTTCGTCCAAAAAACAACCCATTTCCATCAATCTTCGGTTACATGGACATATGGCAATTCTTATAATGCTAACAAAAAGTAGAACACTGACGTAGCGTGAAAACAATAAGATTAAAGAGATGAAGGATGGATAAAATCAAATTACCATAATGAGGAAATGATATACCGACAGGAGATACAGAGAATACGAGTATTTCACTGGAATAAACAAATGATATATTGTCGACTTGTCCACATAGCCGAAAAATGCCTTACAATCTTTTTAACCGCTCAAGTGAAAATTAGCTGTAAGGGATAAAAAATCGTAATTCACAATTCGAAGACCTCAAACACTCCCCATCAAACATCACCTTGGCAATTTTCCTTGTATCGCACTTCTAGTGTTTTTATAAGCCCACATAATGATATAAGCAAATGGTAATGACAAGCGCTAATGGTCAATCTTTAAAGAATAAGAATTCAAAAACTTTTGAGAGCACCAATACCAAGCGTTACTTAAAAAAAACTAAGTTCGTTGTAAATCGTTCCACTGAAGTCGAAACAGCTGCAAAATAACGAATTTCATTCATAAAAAACAGCTAAAATAAGAACATATACTAGGTATTTCATTGCAAAAGATTAATGACTGTTGGAAATAATTTTAATTTAATTTCATGAAAATTTCAAGCAGCGAAAATGGAGAAAAGACCATCAGAATAAGCGTCAGTTAGAATAAAGGTTTTAAATGGATTAGAACTAAGACAACTACATTTTTGTAACATATAATATAATATAAAATTGTCAATCTGAAAGATAGACAAAACGAAGATCAGGAAAATGACACCAAAAAATCCATTTACATTGAAATCCCCTCGATTTCTGTAAATTTTGACTTCTGAAACCAGTCAAACAGCAATATCAAAAACTGCAAAATTGGATGAAATGTTTCAGAAACACATTGAAACTTTGAATTGCGACATAAAAAAATTGTTCAAAAAGTACATATTACGGATTTCACTCGAGAAACTTTATTTTTTCGACAATGTCAAAAAATTTTTTCCCACAAGATAATAAAGAAATAACTAAAGAATAAAGAAGATGAAAATAATTAATGAAAATTTTCTCGCATTGAAACATCGAACCTTGCAGAAGTGTGAATTAAAACCAAAAATTATATAAGCATTATTTGAAAACCGCAAACTGATCATTAAATATGAGATTAAAAGAAATAAACTGAATGTTATCTACATCCGATGTTGCATTTTATTTAAAGATTAATACTGAACAGAAACTTGATAAAAAAAATTGTTTACCAGATTATGGATAAAAATATGAAAAGGAGAGTAGTAAATTAATATCAGATTCGATTCTTAAACTGGGGTAAACTTTTCATTAAAAATACAAATGTGTTAGAAACTACCAGTAATTCTGCTTCCAGATAACGCCGAAGTGGTCTCATCTTAGAGAGAACTGAGAATTAACATCGAGTTGTAAAGACGAAGAAAAATTGGAAAAAAATTTGATTTTTTGGCAGATTTTTTGGACTAGTCAAATTTTTCATTTTTTTTCTTTATTTAAGAAATTAAATAATTTTTCGTTAAAAAATTCCAACCTGATTGAAATCAGTAGCGTCGAGAATGTCATTGTAAAGAGTGCTACAAGCTTCCAAAAATAATTCTTGTGAGCTTAATGCCTAAAAAAAAATTTTTTTGAAAATTATTGAATCAAACGATAAGCATTTTATGAGGAATGGAAAAACCAAATATCTTCATAAAAGAAAGTGAATTAATTCCTTGCCAAAATTTTTCCATAGATGTCCACATGAAGATAAAGATTTATGGCAAAGGCTTCTTAAGCAAGAACTTCAATCACAGAAATAGCATTTGAAAAAAAAGACAAAAAGTTCTTGGATCTACGAGGATTGGATCAATAAAAAAATTTCCATTTCTTCCAAATTTCATTTATCAATTCAGATTTCAATTTTAAAGCTATAAAAAAATTTTCAAAAGATCAGACGGGTTCAGACTGTAATATGCTTAATGATATGTGGATGATAAGTCAGGAATGGGAATTATGCATGATCCTTTATGAGAACGAAACTCGTTATGAAAGAACTGTTAGATAATGTCTAATTATGATTAAAAGTTTCATCGCATTGTACAGGTGACCAAATTCAAGAAGCAAATATGAAAAATAATGTTATATTAAATCATTCGAAGTAAGAAGTAGCAACAGAAGAATTCTGTAGAAACCAAACATTTGCATCGAAATATTCAAAAGATCAGACGGGTTGACTGCACAATGCGAAAGTAAGGAAAGATCAAAAAGTTCATAGCCCCTTCAACTTCGAAAAAATAAAAATCTGGTTTCAAGTGAAATTTTTATGGCCTTAACAGCAAAAAAGCTTTGCTTTTTGCAATTCGATGAAACTTTGTAGAATATTTTGGTCACAAAATATTTTGGTTGGTTTTTTAATATAATAAATCTATCGCAATTAAGCAGGTAGTTAAAACATAAAAGAGACTCAGATTTTAAATTAGCTTTTAAAACGAATTCTCTATTCAATATATCGAGAAGATTTAAAAAATAAAATTTTAAGTGAACCTCAATTTTTAGTGGATTTATGATATAGCGATTAACTATAAACTGTTTTTTTGCTTACTATAAGGAATGATTAAACGCAATGCGTCTGGAAACTTGGCTATTATATTGCAACGACAGGGAAAGGCGAAACAATTATGAGGTTTTAGTAATATGCCCTTTAAATTTCATCTCTAGATTAGCTGGCTACACTGGCTATTCCTTCAACAAGGGACGAGATTCCTTCAACAGAGTTATTTAACCAAAGAAGTTCAAAGAGGCCTGCAGCTCCACTTAGAATGAGTTTTGATAGATGCCGCAAGGTACCAATGAAACTAACCAGTTCAAGTGGATGGGTTAGCAAAACAGCGAAAAATGTGTAAGATCAAATAAAAATATCAAATATTCTACCAAAGTAGTGCAAATATAGTGTAAATTATACAAGGAAAAAAAACTTGAATCTTGCATTAAGAATAACTAAGGAAAAAGTAAAGGAAACAGTGTCATTAACGGAGAAAGCGATAGGAATTCCATCACCACTAATTAATAAACAATTGACTTGAGAAATCTAGTTTCAATTAAAATTCATCAATTATCTTATAACTGATAATTTTTTTAAGCCAAAAATATAGGAAAGAAGTATCGTTCATAGTTCAAACTACGAAACGCAAAAATGAGTATGCAAATACTATCAAATAAATGCATTAAATAAAGCATTTAGCAAATATTTTTTCACACAACAATTTTTTTTTGAAAACTTAACTAAAAATAAAAGTAAAAAATTACTGAAAAAAAGTAAATAGAAAGTGAAGAGCGCTCACCATTTCTGGTTAGACTAGCTCTGTTTGCAAATTTTTCCAGGTGTCATTTGACGATAGAAATGCAGGTGGTTGCTCCACTACCTGGAGTTTTGCAGTATAGGTTTTTTACTGCCGGGAATAGAACAGGATCGGCGCTACATAACAACAAATTTAAAAATAACAATTTGAGCTGAAATTACTCATAACAAAATTCAACAAAATTCTCGACTTTGTTGCTGAAAATTTTTGCAAAAAAATATTGAAGAAATTTCGAGATTTAATGAAAAATTTAAGAACTTTTGTGAAGGAAAATAAACATTTCATGAAAAGTTAGTATAAGTTAGTTAGTTAAGTTAGAAAAAAAGTAATATTAATACTGTCCTGTTTTAGGATATAATGCTGATAATATTTTTTCCTCGTCATTTCATATTGTAAAGCGAATACACCACATATTATTTCTTTATTAATTCATAAAATAATCGACAAAATGGAACCGTGGAATGCGAAGAAATATAGAGAAGAAAATGTGATATTTCAAGAAAAAAATAGAGTAATTAGTCAATTTAAGCATTAACATACCTTAGAAGTTCAGAAAGCTTTATTTTGATAAAAGCAGGAAAATTATGTTAAAGCTAAGCTAAGGCCGATATAAAAACAAGAAAATGGATCGAATAACTCTCTGGAGAACGGACCACACGCTCACAGTGAACGGAGTAAGCCAATCCAGAAATGCTGAATGGATAAATAAGGCTATATTTATTTCAAGGGTAACAACTTTGTTTCTCTTCTAATGCTCCGTTAAAAAGTGATTAGCATTCGTTAACTTAGCATGAAATCTTTAAACTGATGAAAAACTAAAGAGTAAAATATAGGTCAAATTCAGAGTGAAAATTTTAAAATGCTAATGAATTTTGTATATTTAAACTAATCAGCTTAACTATAAATAATTCAAAAAAAAATGAACCACAAAAAATTTTAACTAATCCAAATATTTTAAAAATTTAATCTATGCTTATAAAGTTAGAAACTTATAAATGATAAAAAATTAGATAGATGTTGATCAATTATTAAGTGCTTTTTCTTTATGATAATTTCATTATTCTTCCACAAATTTTCTCACAATAAAAGTGGAAATGAAGTCGACAATATTTTCGGATGCAAGTAAATTCGAAAAAGCTGTAAGTTACTTGTGGATAGATCTCCGGTAAAAGTCTCCTGTCGAGGGACAGGGATCGAGCCATGATGCTTGAACCGACAATATCTTAATTCATTAACCTATTTGAATGGTTTGATATTTGTTTATTAGGCTACAGATAATTTTTATCCTTGAAAATCTGAGATTCAAGGAATTCTGAAACAATCCAAAAGTAAGGATTGAAAATACTTTGCAATAAAATATATATTTTACCAATCTTATCTCGAGTCGACGATCTTAATGACAAGTATTCCGCTATCGTCTCACCTTCATTAGACATTGCTTTTTCCTGATTCTAACTGCTTTGAATATGAATTTTTGCTTGATTTAATTTTAATTAATCAATCAAATTTAAATTCGCAAATGCAATAAATTCGAAATTCGATTTTCGAATCGG